GGCCGTAGACTTGGCCTTTCGGTACTGTAGCAGCTACGACCTTGACCCTTCTGGATTGTAGCAGCTACGACCTTGACTCTTCGAGAAAGCTACAGGTAGGACTTGTGGACCTGACTAAGACTCCTACTTGACAGGTCTACAGCTCGAACCCCTGCGACCTGTGGACCCTACGAGGACCTACCAACTGTTACCAATACACAAGTCACGGGTTCCAATCTAGGGGTCGACACAGATACTGTACACAGGTAAGGTGGGGACTAGGGATCGAGCCCTCGGATCTGCATCAGCTACTGCGACTGGTGAATACCGTTTCAGAAGGGGAGGAAAGTATAATGCCGCTACGGCCAGAATCCACTAGATCCTCCCGAACTAAAGCAAGGGGCCAGAAGCCACTAGATCCTCCCAACGCGTAGACCTGACACACGACTTACCTTTCGCTTTTTATTTCCCTTTTCTTTTTCTTTCTTTAATTCTTTATTGCTCGACTGTGACAACCACCTTGTGCATGAAGCCCATAACTTAGCTAGGGGCACTCGGCTCATGGTAGGAAAACGGCGTTGGTCTCTCTATCTTCACGTCCCTGGGCGAGCCTGGCGGCTGCCGCGGCCACAGGCCGGTAGTACTCTGTTGTACAGCAGGGCGCCGAGCCTGCGTGGACCAAAGGAAAGTCCGGCGGCACAACCCCGCCCTTTGCTAGTGCAGGTGCCAGCTAGACCGACCTGCAGCAGAGCACAACTCCAGGTACGCCTATCGCACTGCTAACCCCATAGGTAGTACCCCACGAAGACCCATGCAGCAGTCGATTCCCCGAGTTAGTAATAGGTAAGTTGCGGGTCCGAGCGGAGGGCCTGGACACCGCGCCCTCGACAACGTGCCCACCTTTGGGCTAGTGTCTGATCAATTGGCAGGGTGGCACGTGCGGGTTTGTCGCCCCCTCTGACTATGTAATCCCAGATATGAAGAGGTTTGGGGGCCGGCCACTCCCATTCCCTTGGGTCAAATGGGAGTCTGGCAACCGGGATTGCAGGCTCGTAAACAAATAGGTCGTCTTGGGAGTCACCAACCACCCTTACTTGCATGAGGCCTCCCGAGTTCTCTTCGCGATTCAGGTTGTCATTTCGTGCCAATTTCGCAAATCTGGCACCTGTCAGGTGAGGTTCGTACGCCTCCAACAGGCACTGTCCCTCCTGGTTAGATGTCACTTTGTATATGAAGGTCCGGGTGGGAAGATCGGAGTATCTCACTACCCAATCCCCTTGTTTAACTATGGGACCGTTCTTGAGGGTGGACCTCCAGGCTAGAGGCATGGCCTCCCTGAGTTTGAACGCCTTTCCCCCCACATTCTTTGCATATTTTAGGCGCCTTTGGAGCTGCTCCGCTGAGGCCCAATCTGCTGCTGTCGGGTCCCAAAGGTCCCCCACCGTAAATATCCCTCTTTTTGCCCATGTTAGCCAGGGGGAGTTTGTGGTGAGCGTGAAGGGGCCACCCTCCTCGTCCAAGATGTAGGGGTTGCCAAACAACGGCTGCCTCCAGATTTCTTGCCAGCTATTGGGGGACCGTTTTTGCTGCGGACCACATGTCCTCCAGAGTTTGAGCATATTGGCCCAGAGAGGGTCGTGGATCAAATCCAGTCTGGCTGCTTCTCCGTTCATCGTTGGCTTGTCTGTTTTGTGGGGGAGAGGGGATCGTCCAATGCCTGTTGGTGAGCCACCGGTAAGGATGTATGTCACAGTCCGCGGCCGATTCAGGGGCAAGTGCAGCTATTTGCAAGGCAGCCAGAGGCGCCCATGGGATATCATTACCGATGAGTAATCTAGTTAGGACCTTGAAAACTAGTGCCTCACTCTCCCTCTCCGGGTCGAGTATCCCCAATCCCCCTTTGGTTCTTGGCTGCGTGAGGACATCCCATCTTACCCTGGACAGACATCTTTCAGATTTGGCGTTCTTCCAAAGATACGTTGTGAGCGCTGTTTTTAGTCTAGCATATTGAGGAGGCTTCAGTGGCGAGACTGCAAGCTTGTACCAGATGGCCGCCATAACAGCGTTATTGTTTGCTAAGGCCCTTCCTACGAGCGAGGTATGCAGTCCCTCCCATTTCGCTGGTCGGTCAATTGCTATGTTCACCAATACCTCCCTGTGATCAGACGGGGGTCCAAGTGCAGTCAGCCTCACCCCTAAGATTCTAATAGCTTTGTCCTCACGTGCCCATGCAACAGCCGGCTGAGGTGGCGGTGGTTGGCCTTGGGGGTGGAGCCACCAGCCTTCTGTCTTAGAACCCCATTTAACCTTCATATCGGCAGCCAATGAGAAGGTATGTATAACCTGTGCAAGAGCTCGTATGCTGTCATCGTCCGCCCTGATAAGAACTGTCAGATCATCAGCAAACAGCGAGGTCACCGGGATGAGATGGTGAGGAAT